TTTTTTTTTTTTTTTTTTTTTTTTTTTTTTTTTTTTTGCAACAAATTTTCTCCGCCACCTTTCTAGTTTTACTCTGTTTGCCAGAGTGGATGCACATTTATTCTCTATCCTTGTGCCGTGTGATATTCTGTTACATCCCCTCAACAGAGAGTTTATAGTGAAGTGTTATTTTAGAATGCCTTGTATGATATAGATAGACTTCATACCCAATTCTTTCACCCCCACAGTTCAATTAATTTTTTTCTAAGTTTATCTCTCTATTACAATTGAATTCTCCATGTGTGTTTTTCTCCCTCAAACATATGCTTGAGAAGAAAAAACGCATCCAAATTCCTTAATAATTTTTTTCTTCATTATCATCATTATTTCTCTCTTTTAGGGCCAGTGTTCAAAGTGTCACAAGGTGCCCTGTATTAATTATTTTCAAATATTCTGTTCAGTCTCCTATGAAAAATCAAAACAACGCTTTTGTGGAAACTAAAAAGTCTATTTTTAGTCCACAAGGAATTATGGGAGTTTTCTTTTGTAACAATTTATAGAGGAGTGGTGGTCCAGTGTGGGTTGACTATAATTTAATTAATGTTAATTTAGTTGTTAATTGTAGATTCACTGATGGTTAATTAGTAGTTTGGATTTGATTAGTTATTTGTCTATATTGTTGTAATTAGGCTATAAATAGCCACCACTTGTTAGAATTGTAATGAAGCCTTTTGAATGTTGTTTTGAAACGGAGCTGTGTTCTTAGAAAGTTGAGAGTGGTCTCAACTTTAGAGATGAATTTTTCTTGTGTTTGTCATGGATTTGGCTTATTCAATGCACCAACTGTCTCACTTTGGTAGTTTTTTAGTTTTTTGATATACGATATTAAGCATTAATCTTGCAGAGAAGGCCAAGCCAATCACACAAGGCCAGTGAGCCACAACAGCCATACCACAGCCACAGCCACAGCCACAGCCACAGCCACAACCACGGCCACAGCCACAGCCAGAGACAGAGCAATATCTTCATTTGAACAAGCTGTAGATCCGTCATTTTCAGAGAAGGTGATTTTGGTATAATATAATGAGAACATTTATTTTGTAATTTGCAAGGTGGGGACTCCTCTCCTTAAAAGCTATAAGAAACAGAAGGCCGTCTCTCAATGGCTGCTCTCCAATGCCCGACTTCACGAGGTTGCTCCAGTAATATTAATGGAGCCTTGTTCTGCAGAGCCTCATTTAATTGTCTTTGTCCCCCATTCTTTCAGCTGACCCTCCTCAAATTTTGAATCCCCTTCTGCCTACCAACGTACTTCCAAGTCCTCAGAGTTAGCAACTCTTTAAGCCCTTTCTTTGAATCTCGTTTTTAAACAAGAACTCTTCTATTTCAGTGCCCATACATGGTTGTTTCTGAGAAACAGAGTGTGATGAGCAACAAATCCTGCAAATGGGTCTCTGCCTAATTGTTGAAGTTTTGAATAATTGGGGAAGGAAGGAGTGGAGTAGGTGCGGTGAAAACTAAGGCTTCACGAGATGCATGGGCCTTACATTATTATCATGTCCTCATCCATCTACTTAATTTTATTCCCTTCTCTCTACGGGTCTCTTATTAACACTGCTCCCTCTAAGCTTTTACCAAAGAATGAGGTGTTCCCAACCATGGATAATAGCCTTAGTTTAAGCATATTAAACCCACAAGGTTATGCATTTATTTCATTCTTTTCCTACCTTACTCGTGACTTATAAACCAACTAATTTCTAAATTTCGTAGAGACCTCTCTAGTCCCAAAGTGGGAGTGCCCTAGGTATTCTACCCTTGTGGAACCAGACCAAGGAGACGTGGATGGAATATACTCTCTTGATAGATCTCTAAATTTCAAAATAGATTCCTAAACTTTGAACTTTGCCTTCCATAGATCAACGTAAAAGCTTCCGAGCTTTACAAACGAACTAAATTATATATACATAAAAAAATGCATGTGGGTGTTTTTTTTTTTTCCTTGGATGAAAACTTATTTGGTAGAAGCAGTTTAGTGTAACGGTTGAGTGATTGTTTGTTTCCCCAAAAATTTGTAAGAATACAAAAACAGATGCTTTCTGCTTTCTGCTTTCTGTTTTTTTTCTGTTTATTTCTCTTTTTTTTCCCCCTTAATTTTGATAAATAACTAAACACCCAAACGAAAAATAAAAAAATTAAAAAAATTAAACAAATAAAAAAAGAAAAAGATAATGCCCTTTTCCTTCTGCAACCTTCCTCTTTTCTTCTCTTCAATTCTCCATCTCCTTCTTTAACTCTCTCTCTCTCTTGTTTTCCTCCCCATCTCACTGCAGTTATCTCTTTCTGTCAGCTTCCCACCATTTCTTTTCCCGTTCCCAAGAAACTCCTTGGAAACCACCCCACCCTTCATCATCATCATCATCATCATCTCATCATGCTTTCCAGAGCTGGGAACGTCCTGTGGATGGAAGAAGATAGCAAGGAAGAAGACTCTGCTTCCTGGACCAAAAACAACACCGACACCCATCTCACCCACCCTGCTAGTTCCTCTGTTTTCGACAACAACCACCAAATCACCTCTCTCTCTACCTTCAAATCCATGCTCGATGTTGAAGACGACTGGTGCATCAATGGAAATGCCCTCCATAACCATACCCACCACGCCGACATCAACGACATTACCTTCTCCCAGAATTTCACCGACCCACCTGACAATTTGTTGCTCCCCTCTGCAGATTCCTCCTCTTCTTGCTCCCCTTCTTCCTCTGTCTTCAATAACATCGACCCATCTCAATTGCGCTTCTTTTTACCCCCAACCCGCACTTTCTCTTCACTCCACAAGCCCATTTCTAACAACCCTTTAGACCATCCCTTCGATTTGGGCGCAGAGTTTGGGTTTCTTGACGTCCAAGCTTCAAATTCTTCCACTCTGCTCAACAATGGAGGTGGGTTATTAACTGGGTTCACTGATTTAAGCCCAACTAGCCAAATGAACACTCCTAATTTGTGCTTAGCCTCTCAATTGACAGAGAATTGTTCGGGTTTAGCTGGATTTCAGAGTTTCGATGACAATTTGGGAAATGCTCTGCTTCTGAATCGGTCTAAGCTTTTGAGACCACTTGAATCCTTTCCCTCAGTGGGAGCTCAGCCGACTCTTTTTCAGAAGAGGGCAGCTCTAAGGAAAAGTTTAGCTGATAAGGGAAGCAATTTGGGGGGTTTGAGCCCCGATGGCGGCTGGTTTTCAAACAGGATTGATGGGAGCGTTGGCAAAAATGAGATCGGTGATGAAAATGGGAAGAAGAGGAAAATGATTTATGCGGATGAGTTTCAAGATACCAGCATCGACACATCCCGTTTCAATTACGATTCTGATGATTTTACTGAGCATAATAACAGTAAGTTGGATGAGAGCGGTAGAAATGTCGTAAATACATCAAACGCCAATAGTACGGTGACCGGCGGCGACCAGAAGGGGAAGAAGAAAGGACTTCCAGCGAAGAATTTGATGGCTGAGAGGCGTCGGAGGAAGAAGCTCAATGATAGGCTCTACATGCTGAGGTCTGTTGTTCCCAAAATTAGCAAAGTAAGTAACAATTTCTTGGCATTATCTTTGTATTTCACGTGATATTTTGGACTTCTCTGATTCACAAGCTTATAAGATCATTCAACGTTTCTTTAAACCAAAATCCTCAAAAAATGCTTCAAACTCATCTGAATGATTGCAAGTATTTCCTCATTCTACATCTTGGTAGTTCTATAGTTCATAAATGAAGATGTGGGTGTGTGAATATAGCCCACTTGAATGTTTAATTCCACTAGTAAAGATAGTAATTGCTTTATCTTGCTTTACCAAGAAACAGATAAGAGAAGGAACACTCTAGTTCAGCTCTTTCTCATTCCTAATCGAGTTCAATAACGCTCTGTTTCGTCATCTCATGTGCTGTCAAAATACTTTTATAACAGCTAAAACTCATCGTTATTGGATACTGTCCGCCTTGGCCCGTTACGTATTGTCATCAGTCTCATGATTTTAAAACGTGTCTACTAGGGAGAGGTTTTCCACATCCTTATAATATTTTTCGTTCCCCTCTCCGACCGATATGAGATCTCACATCCACCTCCCTTGTGGGTCAGCATCCTTACTGGCACACCGCCTAGTGTTTGCCTCTAATATCATTTGTGTAACAGCCAAGCCCACCATTGTCCTCTTTGAGTTTTCCCTTTCGAGCTTTCCCTCAAGGTTTTAAAACGCGTCTACAATGGAAAGAATCTAGTCCTACTTTGACTAGTGTTTCGCACCGTTTGGTGTCTTGACTATGATACCATTTGTAACAGTCCAAGCCTGCTACTAGCAGATATTGTCCCCTTTGGACTTTCCCCTCTTCAACCGACGTGGGTTCTCACAGCTTTTCCTTACTCGGTTGTCCATCTGGTGTCCATTTTGTTTATCTCCATGTTTCCCCCACTCCCATCAATAAGGACAATATAAACACTTGGATGATGTACTGTTTGGTTGGTTGTAAGTTAGCCTTCTGCTCTTTTGCTTCATTGAGTAAACATAACAATATGTGTAATGGATATTTCCTTGTGGTAATGGCTAGATGGATAGAGCTTCAATTCTTGGGGATGCAATTGAGTACTTAAAGGAACTACTGCAAAGAATCAATGACCTCCATAATGAACTGGAATTTGCTCCTCCGGGGATGGCCTTGACGCCGAGCACAAGCTTTCATCCCCTAACTCCGACTCCGTCGAGCCTCTCGAGTCGTATAAAGGAGGAGCTATGTCCTAGTTCATTTCCCAGCCCAAATGGCCAACAACCTGCAAGGGTAAACTTCTTATCTTTGGACAACTTTCCCTTGTCCGTCTCATGATTCATGACTTTTGCATTGATATGTATTAATAGGTCGAAGTTCGGGTACGAGAAGGACGGGCGGTAAATATACACATGTTTTGCAGTCGTCGTCCTGGGCTCTTGCTCTCCACAGTTAGAGCATTAGATAATCTTGGATTAGACATCCAACAAGCTGTGATCAGCTGCTTTAATGGATTTGCCATGGACATTTTTCGAGCAGAGGTGAAATCGTGTTTCCTTTAAACATATCTTCGATTTATTTGACAACGTGAGTCGTCGATCTCTTACGACTTATGACTTCTATAACACTGATAAGAGTACATAAATTTTCAGCAATGCAGCGAAGAGCAAGATGTCCATCCTGAGAAGATAAAAGCAATACTATTAGATTCAATTGGGTTGAATGGTGCGGCATAGATATCTGCAAGACATGCTTGATCTTTCACAAACTGAACCATTTCATTTCAATCATATATTACCTAGCTTTTTACTTCGGTTGAGTTCTACGTTGTTCATCAGAAAAATGACTCCATTGTTGATTTAGAAGTAAAATCTTATGAAGTATTATATGCATTAACTTGCTATTGAGATGATTATCACAATTTGAAATTCTAGTCTGAGGTAAAATTTGGGTACGGAAAGTCTTCACCGTCTTTATCCCCACCACCTATTTCATTCTTCATCTCTGTAAAATTCTCATTTATTTTCAAGGATGGAAGCTGGAGATTAATTTACTTTTAAAATTACTGAGTTTTTGACTCCCGCCTACTCGGCTTCTTATACATAAAGTTAGTCGTGTAGGTACTCCAATGATACTATTGTTCCGTACCATTATGGAAGAAGATTCAGGTAAAATATGCACTTCCTCGGGAATGAAAAAAAAAAAGATTTCTCGTAGATAATTTGTGGTGATTGGGTTCTTGGCATATAATTTTTCACTATTTTTTATTTTTTAAAAAAATATTTTAAAATTTTCATTTTTACTTATAATAGATATTAAAAAATTAGAAAAAAAATCTTAATAAATCAAATATATTTCCTAAATAAATAAATAAAAATATATAAAATATTCTACCAATATAATTTTTAAAAATTCAAATTTTAATATTAATCATCAATTTTAATGTAATTTTACTAATTTTAAATTTAATTTAAGCATATTTATAAAAATTTATGAAAATTTGTGGTTGATGAGTATATGAAATATATAGGAATAAATTATTATCGTAAACAAAAGGGGTCTAAATTCAAAACTAAACCCCTTCACTTACATTAATTAATTACTTAACCAACAAATTTTAATAAAAATGAAAATTATTTTTATAAGATTTAAAATTAAAAATTAAAAAAATCTAGTTGTCTAGATTTTATTTTTCAAATAATTCGAGATTAAATTATAAAATTTATTGGCCAGGCTGGAAATATTAGCCACGTGTCCATTGCATGTGAATGTAAGGTCAGTTGTTTAGTAGACAATCGCGTCCCTGGTTCTACGGCTGCGATCGTAGGGATTCCGGAAAAGAGCGCTAAAACAAAAGCAGCCCATCGGAAGCTCGGAATCCCGAAGAACGGAGAAATTCAGCAATTCATATTACCAACATCATTGGAGGTGAAGAACATGGCGGGGCCTGTGGAAGAGAACGACGGAACCAACAGCAAGGAAGAGCAAGAAGAGGCTTTGGTCGCTTTGATCGATCATCGTTGCCGTGAAGTTCAAAATCTCAAGCAGCGTATCTCCTACTATACTTCACAGGTCTCCCTTTTTTCTTATTATTCACTTCTTTTCATTCGATTTTTGCTGTAATCTAAGGCAAATTTGTGGTTTACGTAACTGCTGTATTTAGCGATGGAATCTCTTCTTCCGTTTGTCTTTTGGGAATTTTCAACTTAATCTTGTTAAACGTCTGTAGCTTGAAGAAGCGGAGAAGAGATTACATGATTCAGAATCGAAATTGGCCCGGCTTCGACGTCAGGGCAATGCAGTGTCATCCAAAGATTCTTTTAGAAGTAGAGCCGTAAGTGTGAAAGTGGAGCAAACGGTAAATGAAGGTAGCAAGCCCCAGCCATATTCGAAACCAGAGCTTGTAATTCCGGCTGTTGTTCCAAAGATTTCCCAGAACAGTGCATTGGCTGGGAATGGAGCGAATATTTCAAATAGCTCCAGCTCCAGGGCTCAATCAAGTCCTTCTCATGTTAAGAATGTAATTAAAGTTGAAGGGGACAAAAATATTGGAAACTCTTCTCTTCGAGATTCTTCGAACACTTCTGATAGAGGGACAAAACGGAAGCTTGGTAGGATTCTCGTTGCTCAAATATTCTCTTTGTATTAGTTGCTTTATGGTTATTATGCATATCTGATTCATCATACAACAACTCTCTGAGGTAACTGCTAAATTTTAACGCTTTATTCCAGAACAGCAGTGCAAAGAGCATAAAGAATTGATTCCATTAATACGTAGCAGCTCATCACCTTCTCAAATCCGCTGTGTTGGGAGCAATCACATCTGCAGTCAGCATAAGAGAAAGTTGAGAAGTCTCATCTCATGCCCGGTTAACGAACAGCTATTCGTGACCAGGTAACTGCATAAGATTGTATAGGATTTGTATACATTCAGAAAGACCGAAGAAACCTTTACTTAAAACTATGACCGGCGGCTCTAGTTTCTTAAAAGAAAATGTTCCTTAAGGCAATTGTCCCGTCAAACGTGAAGGGAAAGTGACATTTTTCTTCTTCTGAAATTCTATTCACTTCTCTCTAGTCCCTGCCAATTGTACAATGATTAAGAAGATAATCCGTGTATACATTGTGTCGCAGTTTAACATTCCCAATATTCTTCAGGTCAAGATAAATTTAGATTCTATAATGAACCATCATAAAATATTTCATCTTCGGTTACCCTTGCAGTATGTTAGGGTTAAATTGATAGGTAGCTTTCAACTGGAAGGAAAGGTAAATTAAATATTCAAATTATTCTTAATCATCATATTGTGGAGTTTTCATTATTCTTGCTTTTCTGGCTCTTTACCCCCAAAATGATGGAATGAATAAATAAATAAATAAGGTTAGGATCCAACATTTAAGTATTCCTTACAAAGCTCACCTGAAAGGTTTAGATAATAAAATTCCATTACTGGAAGGGTCCCAACCTCCAAAAACTGTAATTATCTTTTTCAGCCTTCCTGTCAAATACACAGACTTAACCTTTTTATGGTATTGAAATGTTTATCTTTTACAGTGCCCTGGATGGAGTAGTCAACTTGTGGCAGTTACAGGCCAGAGGGTGAGTGCTGATTATTTCCCACTTTATCCTATATCATATTTATCTACAGCTACCATCTTCTGGAGCTATAAGCTATGACCATTCTGGTTTGAGTTGGAACTAGTCTCCATGCCAACTGGTGAAGGAACATAGTACGTGTTTATAAGAAGCCTCTTTAAATGAGACGTTGATTTATCTTCTAATGTTATAATCGTGTCATTGCTGGGTTCTATGAAATAAAAATGAACATGTGTCAGTCTTTTGCGAGTTAAGATTCTGCTTGTAGTTGACGGAGTGTACAAATGCTCATTTGTTGTTTTGAGATATATAGTTAGAGCATAAAAATGAATTTTTAATGTGGATGTAGTTTTCCTTTGCCAGTCATCCCTTGAAGTATATCTAGATGAGGCACTTCTTGATGTCTTCGGAAGAAGCGTCTCTTCTCCATTGCATAAGCGACTTTGTTTTCCATTTTCTACCCAAATATAGAAATGCTTAAGCGTGTTTGTCCATCTTCTCTTTGTCCACTCCCTCTATCACAGGTCAAGTGCCTCTCTACTTAGTTCCGCCGACTGTGTATCTCCAAAGCAAAGGAGATGGCCAGAAGACATGGTCTGGCATCCAGAGGGGAACCGCGTATTTCTTGTTTATAGTGCTGATGGTGGGGACTCTCAGGTCTCAGTCATGAATCTGAACAAAAGTGAAGGGGTATGATTTATAATAGAAATCACGTTTATCTTTGGCATGCATTTTTCTGGCAAGATTATGATTTTAGATGCATTTCTTTCCCTAGACAACTAAGTTGTACCTTTCCATTTTTAAAAGTTGTTAATTTGGGGATTTTTGTGACTAAGGTGAGTTATTATGTCTGTGCATTGACAGAAAGCTCGTGTTACCTTCCTTGAGGATAAGCCTCACTTTAAGGGCATTATCAACAGCATAATTTTCTTGCCCTGGGATAGCACGTCTTTTATCACTGGTGGAAGTGATCATGCTGTTGTACAATGGAAAGAGAAAGATGGGGAGAACACATGGAAGCCAAAGGCATTGCACAGAAACCTACACTCTTCAGCAGTCATGGGGGTAGCAGGGATGCAGCAGAAGCCAATCGTACTTTCTGCAGGTGCAGACAAGAGAATTCTTGGATTTGACGTAAATGTTGGTAGAACAGAGTTCAAGCATCAGATAGAAAGCAAATGCATGAGTATTTTGCCTAATCCATGCGATTTCAACCTATTTATGGTCCAAACAGGGTGAGTTTTCTGATACTAGAATTTGCTCGCTGTGAAAAATGAGTTGTTATGTGTATAAATGTAAGGTGATCCCGAATTTCCATACCATGTCTATGTGCTCTATTGTTTTATTAGTGTTGCAGAAAGTTTTGCGTATTCATTTCTAGTGGGTTAAGTCACAGAGAGTCATTCCATATTCTAGATATAAAATCAGAGGTAAACACGATTAGGCATTACGATGAGTTGCAAAGGCGCATAGGCACATGAGGAATAGATAGATCATGTAATGGGTAGCTGACGTGTGTTTTTGTTTGGTCCATTTATTTTCTGTTAGGTAGTGTATGGGATGGGAGTCAAAGGTTGTTACAAGGGGGCATCTTTTTTGGCTTATTTCTGATGTAATTATCTGAGGAGAAAGTTGGGAGAGATAGGGTAACTCTCTAATCTTCCCTTATTACTTGTTCATAAATAAAATCGTTGGCTAAGGCCTAACAATTACATTCATTTTTTAGTTCTAGGATAGGAACTGCAAATATTTCAGCCCATATCTTTATAGCCTCTTGAGCATATTTAAATTGTGTTATAGTGGTATCTAGAAATTTTTTGTTAGAAATTATACTAGTATTTAGTCGAGGGGTGAACAAAAGGAGAATGAGGAAACCCTCTAAAATCAATGGGATTTAGAGAAAAGGATCCCGCTTGGCTTAGGAAAATCTCGTCTGGTCCGTGTGAAGCCTTCAAAAGTAGCATATCTTGAAACACCCTTCCATTTTTTTTTTCTTTTTGAACCACAATATTCTTCTAAAAGTCATGACATTGTTGGACCACATGATATTAGCTTGCTCTCTTGAAGGATCCACAGAGAAGTTGGATGAGAGCCAACGCATTGTCTTTGGGATGTAACGATTGCAAATTGCATAGTATCATAAATAGCTACGCTGAATACTACACATCCGGGAAGATAGCTTATTAATTAAAACAGATGAGTTAATTTAGTATTTTGCTTTCAATCTCTTGGCCTAAAAATGTACCCGTTCCACTTTGTTGCAAGGTGTGCAATTGATCTTGAACTAGTAGGGTGCATATAAAACATCATTTCCTGGAATTTTAGCTTACCTAATAGCCTTGATCGTGCAATTTTGAATTATCGAAGAGTCCGTCCATTTGGAAGAGACATAAGAAGACCTTTTAGATGCTCTGATGAATTGTTAAAATAGACACTATATCTTGAAACAATTCTGAGAAAATGAGCCATTCATTTATCTCTAATCATTGGGATTTCTTCTGAACACAAGATTCCACCCCTGAAACTCCTTCAGGGACATCCGATAGAAAGGGAAAGGTTGACAAAAAGTTGTCTAATCTCACAACTCTGCAGAGCCTCGGAAACAGCAGCCTCAAAGGACTTTCATGAAGCCAAGAAACCTCCGCAACAAATTTTAGCTTGCATCTGTACAATTTGTCCACATAACCCTAGTGAGTTGGAACTAGGAACCCTTCGATTATGTGAACTAATTCAATTGCAAAATTCAAGAAACTCACTACCACTCACTTTCTCTAGTCCACTACTATCAACACTTGTTCTCCAGAAACAAGTGGTGCAATAGTAGTAGTAAGATTACAATCATGTGATTCCTAGCTATCTAATGACCTACCAGGAAAAATATCATTATCATGCATAGGTAAAACATTAGCAAGCTTTCTTTCTGCTGCTTTCTACTATATCAAAATTCTCATGTTAACGCTTTCCTCTAACATGTTGACATTAGAACTAAACTTAGATTTAGTGGACCTTGAAGATCTCCTTTATGAAAACCCTAGTGAGTTGGAATTACGAACCCATTGGCTATGTAAACCCCTAATTCACAAATGCTAAAACTCTCAAATAGGTTTGGGCTAGATGCACGACATTATTTTGCTGTCCTGAAAAAATCTTATAAGGTTAGAAGATTTCACCTGACTTGACTTTCGAGTATTATATTGTGTGAGCAAAGTTAGTATTCAAAACAAATTACTATTGAGATTCTATTGCAGAATGAAATATAGTATTTGCACAAATTTACAGTTTTGAATACAGTATTAATTTGATTCAAAGATTTATATTGCCAGTTGAAAGCCCCTGCAGATCTTTCCATCATTTGCTTCCATTGAAAAAGAAGTGGAGTTAAATCCCTCCAACTAAATTACTATTTGTTCAGACTGAAATTTTTATCGATTAAGCCAGAGAAAACTTGAACAAGTCTTTGATAATTTGTTTTGCGTGCAGTACTCCTGGAAAGCAGCTCCGGTTATATGATATCAGACTTAGGCAGACAGAACTACATGCCTTCGGGTGGGAGCAAAAGAGCAGTGAATCACAGTCAGCATTGATAAATCAGGCTTGGTCGCCTGATGGTTTGGTTCTCACATCTGGCTCTGCTGACCCTGTAATCCATCTGTTTGATATCAGGTACAATTTGCACAAGCCTTCCCAATCCATTAGAGCTCATCAGAAACGAGTCTTCAAGGCTGTATGGCTTCAGTCTCTACCCCTCCTTATATCCATATCTTCTGATCTGAACGTTGGATTGCACAAAACAGCTTGAAGTTCTCATTTTCCCTTCTGATCATGGATAGTTTATGGACTTGTTTAGTCGTTTTCTTTTTTAAAGGGAATAATTTTTTTGCTTAAAGATGAGAAAATGAGTGTCATCCAATGAAGAAGGGATGTTATTTTGCGTAGTTACAACTTGCAAGCAATATTGCAAAGCTCAGTTTGTCGTCTTAAAAGTTCGCCAAAGATGAGAAAATGAGTACCGTCCAGTGAAGAAGAATGTTACTTTGGCTAGTTAGAAGCGAAATTGCAGAGCTCAGTTTTGTTGTTGTTTTAAGTGTTCCATGTGTACAATCTAGTTTTGAAGATTGGCTACCTTGTGAAATGTTGTCATCTATGTATTATCAAACAACGCAGGAAAGCAGAATACAAATAATTTAAACTCATTGCATGTGTTCACATGGACGGCCCCTATACTATCTTAAGTTGGACATCTCACCACTATTACACGACTCGAATCACCAGTTATTATGCTGTCTAAGTCTTTCGTTTCAGCTTATCTTTAGTCTCTTCAGTAAAAATTTATGCAGAGTGACAATATTTGTGGAGTAGAAGGATAGGATACCCACAAATAAAATCACTAAATTTTTGCATTCATATATAGTACTACAAGATAAATAAAAATGGGAACTACACACTTTTTAGGAGTTTTCTCCGTGCATAACAAGTAGGTCATTCTAAATAGCCACTGTCATTCTAAATAATGTCCGGTGGATAGAATATTCCTCGAAATTGTTCCTGTAAGCCTAACCTTTATTCACTATTCTCTCTTGCACAAGTCCTCTACCTTTCTGATCATGATGTTTGAACATCCAAAGATATAACTACGCTAAGATGCGCTTGTAGCTTCGGGATATATCTGAGACGAGAACGGAGGATACAGTTACCTGTGTAGTATGTCCACTGGAGAGCATGTCAACAGCCATTTTGCTTGCTTTCAAGAGTCAACCGGCACGTTCGACTCTACTAATACACACATACGAAAACATTTGACAACAAGAGAAAGAGAAAAAACATGACGAGCAAATGCAAGATTTTATTTCAGATAGAAAAAGGTGACGAAAATTTACACTATATAAGATAAATTATTAAGTGACTGTTATTGCAAGACAAATGAGCCCTCTATTCTTTTCTCCATGGACTGCTGAGAGAAATTTAATGGAGAAAACATGTCCTTGAGACTGTTGGCTGGAACTGCCTTGAATTCGTAAGGTCCTTCTTTTGTTCCCCAAACCTGCAACAAGCAAATCAAACATTAAATTTATTAGAGGTTCACTCTGTCAGATGCCACTTCACAACATTTTCTCAGTATGTAAAAAGAATTAGACCTGGTTTCCATCTTCGTCGTAACCCCTTTCCCACGTATGTACTTCATTATTCTTTAGGATAGATAATTCAGAAGTACAGTAGGCTGCTCCATTCTGCAATAAAGGAGCTCAATGGTAAGGGAAGGGAGTAATAACTATTACTGGAACGTTGCGGTCGGGATAACTCACTTTTCAGTCTTACTCTTGGTATTTTCACAGATTTGAAAAAACCAAACAAATTATGTGGAATGATATCTTAGGTATCCAGATGCTCTTACCCATGAATTTGGAAAACTGCCTGGTGGAGTAGAACCTTCATACAAGCAACGTTTTCCACGATCACAACGCTTAAGATGTAAGGTAGTTAAATGCTCTGCAATGTCCTGTGCATAAAAATCTAGAATTGTATGAGATTCATCCAGCAACATCCAATTCAGTTTCAGTGAAGAGCAGACTTAATCTAACAATAATAAAATACCTGTCCTAATAAGAATGGATTTTGTTTTGATCTTACAGTAAAAATAATAATGCTAATCTTATAAACTCCATGAAACAATAAACAAGAGCTTTATAAAAGATTTTTAAAATAATCTGGTAAATAATCCAAGAAAGATGATATTTGACTGAAAAAAGGTCAAATGGTTCAAACTGCAAACCATCGGAAATAGCACATAACCTCGGAGGCACCAAAATTCTATTTTCTGCTTCTTCACTATTTCCCAACCATGTTTATCTTCACCATTAGCTACGGTACAGTAACTCATGTTCACTTGTTTTAACTTAATTAATGTCTTACTTCATCACCAAACCACTCACTCTGTGTATTAATTGTGAGATCCTACATCAGTTGAAGAGGGGAATGAAGCATTTTTTATAAGAGTGTGGAAACTTCTCTCTAACAGACGCATTTTAAAACCTTGCGGGAAAACCCGGAAGAAAAAACCCAAAGAGGATAATATCTGTTAGCGGTATGTTTAGGCTGTTACAAATGGTATCAGAGCCAGATTTCGGGCAATGAGCCAGTGAAGACGCTAAACCCCAAAGGGGGGTGGATTGTGAGATTCTACATCGGTTGGAGAGGGGAACGAAGCATTCTTTATAAGGGTGTGGAAACCTCTCCCTCATAGACGCGTTTTAAAACCTTGAGGGGGAAGCCCGAAAGGGAAAGTCCAAAGAGGACAATATCTATTCGCGGTGGGCTTGGGCTGTTACAAAGGAGGTATCATTAGAACTTATTGTAAGACATTGAACTTGACCGGGTCATTAAATTGATTAAAAGATAGCAAACCACTAATTCAAAATCCTGACCAGGTAATTACAGTCAGCATTAAATTCATATATCCATATATCCAAATCTGCAGTTCCAATGGTTCAACTTGCTACCTTGCAGAGACTATGACCATACTTTGTTCTCTTCAGTGGATGGTTTGGTAATGCCGTCCAACATCCATGCCCATGCTCACATTTTTTACTCTCTCAAGTCTTCACAGTGAAATAATGTTAAGCTCAATATGAAAATCCCACTTAGTACTTAAATTTAGTTCCCTGCTCAGAACCAAACTTCAACTTTTTACTTGATCCAACCATGAAAAATTAAGGTATAAACATGGATTTGAGGCCCTGGTCAAAAACAAAGTTGATCAAATTGGGGCGCTAAAATTCGGATATGCCAAGGCCAGAGTAGAGTATAAGCGGCTCTAAGAGAACTCTGCGTCATATATTCTCAACCAATAGACATTATCTTAGGTCAGGAACAAGACTATGACAATTGAAAAGCTAAGACCCCGTTTAATAACCATTTTGTTTTTTGTTTTCTATTTTTAAGCAATGCTTATTTCGAAACTATTTTTTGATAAGTTTTCTACCTTCCTTGAGAACACATCTGAATTCTAAGCAAAATTTTAAAAACAAATCTAGTTTTTAAATACTAGATTTTCAAGTTAGCAAATATTGGTATGGTTTCTGAAAAGATGTTTAAAAGTGGGTAATAATGCAAGAAAACAGAAGGTAGAACTTAGAAGAAGTGATTATAATCTTAATTCTCAAAAACTAAAAACTAAAAAATGAAACGATTAAAAAAAAAAAACAGGCCTAAAATAACATAATTTGAACCAAACTTATATCCAAGCAATAGAAAATCTGATTAAAGTATTAAGCAGGTGGCTAACCCCAACAATTTCTTCGGGAAGAGGACATTGATCTTTTGTCCGATCACAAAAATTCTTGTACTCCTCCATTTCCCGAATAGCGTATGAGCTTAACTGCAAAGTGAACAAATATAAGAAACTTTTGAAGCATGCATGTTACACACAGAATACGCAAACCATTATGTTAGCTGCAACAAATTTATAGTTGAGGAATATATATCCTCCGTTCACATCAAGTGGAAACAACATATGTGCTCACCTCCACATCACATTTCATCTCTTTTGAACAAGGCTTCACCGTATAAAATCTCTGCAACCGTAGAACTAATTGAATTACTATATGTATAATGAAGGAAAGTTCAGCAAACTGAACGTAGGAGTTCATCGATGGTTAACTTTTATTTTCTTGATAAATTCCAAACTTCAAACTAGGGAAGAACAATACCTGGCGAAAGGGTTTTTGAGGAGTTCTGGAGAATGCCTATCAAAACAAAAAATAAAATGATATCTGATATCTAAATGGAATATTAGCGGGCAGGAAGAGTGCTAGACTCACTTGTTCAAAGTATAATACCGTAGAACCATCGACCATTTCTGCTGCAGGGCACGTAACCATTCTAAAACACAAAATCAAAATCAATCCTCCGTAAATTTTCTAAACAAGCCCTAGTCAAATACAATTGAAAAGGTGTTCATAGTTCAGAAATTGAAGAATTCACAGCTACTAAATAGCGTTCACATATTGCGTACCTGATATTGAAGTAATTTTCAGGATCCCTAGCTGCTTGCTCCTTGGAAAACTATCCAAAAAGAAGAAGAAATTCAGAGAGGAAAAGAGAGTAACGCAATTGAGGGTTGTGCGAGGAGGTTAAAAACAGAAACCTTCTCGCCAGAAAGGGACTGAGAAACGAAGCGGGCATGATCCCATCGCGTT